AGGACTATCTGTGGATGTTGTTGACTTTATTTCATTGTGGATGTTGTAAGTACATAAAAGAGAGCCTACCAGTACATCTGTGTTCTCAAAATAATTCCTCCAGTAGGGACGGATCTTGCGCTGGCCTCCAATGTCCCAAACATTCAACTTGAAGCCAGACGATTGAACACTCTTTATATTGAAGCCCTGTTGAAAGATAACATAGATTATTGTTTATTTAAAATCTGTTTTACATGGATCCGTTGTTGTAGCAAAACTATATACAAATGTGAGTGAAGAGTTGTGTAACCGTATTTCAATCTGTGTGTGCGTAATCAGATTTGTAAATGTGTAAAAAAAATCCACAGATCTGTATTCAGATTTGCAAATGTATTAAGATTTGTAAATATGTAGACAAATTTGTAAATGCGTATCTGAAAATATGTTGACAAATCTATAAGTGCAAACATACATATTAATGACGTAACCCTAACCCCTAACCCCCTGAGCAGGGTTACAGCAGGGTCAGCTCTGGGGTACCAGGAGCCAAACCCAGCCAGAAAACTAGCTTGGCTTCTCTGTCATCAGACTGGCCTCTATCTGACTTGGAGGCTGTCACAGAGAGTTTAGGCAGAGAGCAGCTGGAGGACATCAGAGGGAAAAAACAGATATTAATATTTAATATTTTCTCCATAAAATATGATCCACTTACACCAAAATCAGTGAATAAAGCTTAAAGTTGTGTTTTTGTACAGTAATCAGTGAGGCCTGTCCATCCATTTAATCTATTTTCCATACCTAATTCTTGACTCATTTGTGGTCTGATAAACTCATTAAGGAATTAATAAATTCATTAACTTCAGTTCCCCATATTGCCATTTTCCAACAATAAATCTCTCCTCACACACACAAATGGCCACACGCATTTGCAGATCTCTACAGAAGTGTAGCAAAAGTCACGTGTAAAAAAGCCAACTGAGAGTCCTGTCTGAGTTGTAACCGATGAATTGTCTGTATTTCCAGCTCTTGGAGCAAATACTTTGGTGTACACATTTTAAGATCTATATACGCATTTACAGATTTGTATACATTTACAGATTTCTCCACATTTTCAGATCTATATATACATTTACAAATCTCTGTACATTTGCAAATCTGAACACAGATTTGACAAATTTACAAATCTGATTGGATTGAGATACAGTTGCACAACTCTATGCTGCAATAATGGCTCCACAGTTTTACTGGAAAGTGAAGAAATGTATTTCCACAGTGTGTGACTGAGCTACTGGATGTGTGTGAGTGTGTCCATATCTGTACTTGTGTGGGGGTGATTTGGCTGATATCTTCGGCTGCCAGCTGTTTCAACAGAGTAGTCTTGCCAGCATTGTCCAAGCCAAGCAACAGTAAGCGCACCTCCTGTTCCGGAGACTGCTTCAGCCTCCGAAGAATGGACAACAAGCCCTGCAGGTGGATCAGTCAGAGGTGATAAACTTTAGTGAGACAGCAGGTTCAAAGACAACATGTCATAGAGAAACCTGCAGGAATTTTCTCACAATATTGTTACAGAAGCATGGCCTAAGCTGTATTAGGTAAAGCAGTCAGTCGTCAGATACCAGCATGATGTCAGGGGTTGGTAGAGGAACGCGGCACAGCTTGAACAGGTTTAACACTCACCCCACAGCAGGAATCAGAGCGTGGGGATTAGTCACTTGCAGTTACCTGCACATGCAGCAGGCTGAGAGCTCTTATTGGCCAAGATTAGGCATGTGCACACTGTGTGTCCTGAAACTGGTAAGCTATTTACCTTGCAGCATGTTCTGTTAAGATGAAAATGTTGTCACTGTTCTTTGCGACCTGCAATATGTGCGGTGTGGAATAAAGAAACAACTGATTTTCTCGGTCAAATATATGACGAAGAAGATAAAATAATAATTTCAGCACATTTCAGTGCACACATTTAAAGATGGTCTTAAAACTCACTTGATTTCTTGATAATGTAAGTTTATTATTTGTCCACTTTGTCTTCATAAACCTGTATTTTGTCCTCTGTCTCTCTTCTCTTTTCTTTGTCCTGTAAAACTAATGTTTAGTGCTATATAAATAAAATGTGCTTGCACTAAAAGGAAGCCTGAATATCTGAGAATGAATGATCCCCAATTGAGAATAAAATATTGTTTAAATATAAACTTGTCAACTTGTTGAACATCGATGAAATGCTGAAATACAAATGCTATTTTCAGTGACAACCCACAATGTCATCATCAGTATTACCAATTGTTGACATTGTTTTGACGGTGGCAACTTTCTAAAAACTCTTATATATAGCTATCTTATCTAGCTGTTAGCTAACAGTTTCCAGTATCACACACGCCATTAAACAGCAAACTATAAAAACACAATTTAAATGTTCTGATTTATCTATGAATTGTGATAACTCACCATGTTTTTCCTCAGGTGTTAGTGTTGTGGTCCCCTGCTCAGACTGAGTGGATTAACATCTCTCTCCCTGTGCCTCTTGGGAGAACAGCTGTCAAGTTCTGTTGCTAGGGAAACAGTGACGTCAGCTTAAACAACGTGACAGCTGGGTGTATCTGGAGCGAGAAAATATGAGCCCAAAAATATTTGTATGACTTCTTCAGAAATACAGAAAAACTTACTTTTATAATCGATTATATATATTTTTAACAGCTGAATTTATTGTTGTTGCTCTTTAAATCACTTTAATCACAGTGCTGTAAGTAAACTGCATTGCTAGCTATAATAGGTAGGGTGAAAACATGTGACAATACATTTTATAATTACTGTATATTCTGGGAAAGTTGTTACAAGTTTAGTTGCCTTAATTTGTTAAAAACTTTTTACAATTACAATTTTATGTGTTAAAGTACTACTTTTTCCGGTGTCATTCAAGCAAAGGGTGGATTTAGGAAAGCCTTGATTATGAAAGAGATCTTACAATTTTGAGTGTTGACAATTGCTGATCCAAGCTAGTTATGAGTTTCCATTTTGAACTTGAACTATATTCAGATTTGCAGCCTGTCTTTACTAATCTCTAAGACACAGGACACAAATATATAATAATTCTGAACACTACAGTTCGGTGTAATGATGTTCTGCCAGGTTACAATTGGCCATAAAAAGAAGAAGAGGAAGAGGAAGAACACTGAACTTGAACTTGCATGTTTTTTTCCACACAGGATGCTCCAGTTGAATGGCCTGTTGAGCAGACACATCCTTTAGAGCTCCACCAACTCATTCCTGATGCAATACTTGTTGAAGACAAATAAAATCCACTTTTAGTTTTCACTACTGTACTCGACCTGAAATATGAACAAAAACGACAACGTTCTGCTAGACCGCTATAGCTCCGACAAATGGGACAGAGGAGACACAAAAGCCCTCATGGAAAAGAAGCCTACAAACTCCTAAATGGAGACTATAAAGGCTGTAGATGCTCTGGGAGAATGTGTGGAAGACTGCATGGAAGCTGCAATAGCTAAGTCCAACTCAGAAGAGCTAAAAGAGTGTGATGTGAAAGTTAAAAAATGCTCAGAAAAGAAGAATGAATAATGAAAATGAAGGGATGCATACTGAACAAAGTGGGACACAAACAAACATGGTGTCTTCATCAAAGGGAAGAAAGTTCGCATAGGACCTGAGGACTGGCTGTCTAGGCGATGTAGCCGAGAATCGAACAGGCAACAAAAGAAGACAAGAACCATACGGCTTCATATGTCAGCAGGCTGAGCCTTAAACTTGAACTGAATAGTGGTAAACTTCTGATTATAGGGCTTCTGTTTCACGGTTTTCAATTCCACCTCCTTAAAACTTTTATCCAAAAAAGTTTCTGATATTTCTCTCTATTTATTTATAATAAATATTAAATATCAGAATTCCTCAGAGGACGATCTATCCATAATAACATCTGCTTTGTTCTGGACCTTATTGATTATGGTCATATAGTTGTTGATGATGATGGTTTTATGTTTTTCTTGGATTCCCAGAAAGCCTTTGACTCAGTTGAACATGTGTTTATCTTTGATACAATCACACACTTTGGATTTGGCAACCAGTTTTTAGACATGATTATTATGTTACACACAGACATGAACAGCTGTGTTTCCATCCCAGAAGACACCAGCCTCAAACTTAACGTAGGGAGAGGCATAAGACAGAACAAAAGTTGAATTTCTTTTGAACCATAAGCATAATTATACATTAAAAAAGCAGACGGTGGGCTTAAAGCAATAGATTTTGAAATTATGAATGGAATATTAGAAATTAAATGGCTTCAATCTTTTCTTAGGAATGCTGAAAAGATATGGTAAATACTATGTATTAATCTCAGAAACTGTGGAAAAACAAGAACAAAATTCCTTAAATGCCCCCCAAAGAAATACATTTTAAATCTTTAAATGAAATATATTCTTCAAATGAATCCTTAAGAACACAATTTCAATTTGATGTAGATAACTGTAACCTATGCAACACAACAAATGTAGAAACAACAGAGCGCCTGTTTTATACTTGTGATTCGATCCAAAGCCAATGGAAAGCCATGCATGATCTATCTCCAAATACATAAATATTGATTTATTTTATGAATCTGTTCAATTTTGAAAAGTAAATAGATTGAATGTCTTGTTGATAATATTATAATTCTAACAAAATATTACATACATACACAAATGTCAATTTGCCAAATCATTCCAGTGTGGCAGACACCTAGAAAGGAGTCTGTGATATTAAATACATTTATAAGGAAAGTCAAATCTTTGTGCACTTATGTCTGAATATGATTTATTCTCTTTTTTCCCCCATTGTTGTACTCTTTTATGTCATTGAGTTGACTAATATTAACATTACAGTGGGAGGTGCAATCCATGATGGAAAAATAAAACATGTTTATAATGATACAAAGTGAGTTTGCCATTCTATTTGTTATCAATAAAGACAAGAACAATGTATATACCAGTATATATATATATATGTTTTCACGCATTCACAGTGCCCTCTAGAGTTCAATAGCCGACTCCGTTTCAGATTACTATTGGTGCTGTTTCTGAGTCAAGGAAACAAAAACATGTCCGTTAACTAGCAACAGCCACCGGCAGTCACCTCAACAAGTCGTCGATTCGACCGACTGCTATATGATTCCCATCGTGTTAACGGCCGACAACCCAGAAAGATGCCGCAGAAAGCACTGGGATCCATTGTAGGTCTTCTTTGTACCGGGACCTGTCTGGTGCAGGTAAGCCGCTACTAGCGTTCTCTGGGTCGGCTGACTCTTCCAGCCGAGGCCGCGGCTCCTGGGGTGGGTGAAGGCCTTCTGCTGATCCTTTTTGTCTCCTCCACAAAGGAAACTGGGCACGGTTCGTTACCGTTACTGCGGATGACGTCAGTTAGTCAAAGTTTTCCTTTTATTATTTCGACATTTAACTCTGTAGAAGATTTTAAAGTGTAACTCGAAGCCACACGGGTTTGTTTTATTACTTCAGTTTCACAGTTTGAGTCAAGGGTATCAAGATTAACGTTAGCCGTTGCTAACTGGTACCCGGCAAATTGGCGTGTTTATTCACAGTTGTTGATATTCGCTATCCTAGCTGGACCGGGCAATCAGCCCCAGTTTGTTTAGTTTGCTTCCCGGATAGAAAGGCTACTTTAACTTTCGTCAAAATAAGTTGATAATGATATAAAAACCTCGTATTGGTACTTGAGCAATTCAGCATTTGTTCCGCATATTTATTGATTTACTGACATCGTTCGGCAGTGTACAGCAACCTTACCCTTATTGTTTTATTACCACAGATTACTCTTATTTAAATGCACATTTTACATGTATTTTTTATGCTCGTAATTAATACGTGTACTGTACCATTGAGAACAATTACGTATCAATGGCTGCTGGCCTTCCCGTCGCTAACAATTTAAAATTTAATCTCAGCTGTATTTTGCCTGCGTAAACAGAGTTTGAATTAGTTAGCTAACGTTTGTTGTTGCAGAAAATGTGCAAACACAATAAGTGACACTAAAGTGACAAATGACAAAGGCTAAACAGATCCTAGAAATAGGTCATCCTACCAAGAGCTTGCTATGCAACTTGTGTGATTGAGTATTGACTCAAGACATTCACTTTGTGTACCTCTTGTGTGTATTTAAGGGGAAGGAGTTCTGTTTTGGGGTAAACAATGAGCAGTACCGCTGTGAGATGGGGTACTGCTGTGGAGAGACAGAGTGCTGCACCTACTACTACGAGCTCTGGTGTAAGTTACAATTTATTTATTTTTTGTCTTCTCAAGTCCTTTGTCACATATATCATGTAGTGCCATCCTCTACAACCTTGAGAGTAAGGGCTACTATGTCTACTTACTTGTATGCCAACATCCGTGTTTAAATAGATGCTTTGATAAACAGGGTTGAACCAGTTTGAATTGGAATTGTAGGTGTGGGAGTTGTTTCTTCTCTGGTTGTAGTATTAATACTGGCAGATTTATTTATGAGAGATCCACTGATATGAACAATGAAAATCTAAAAGTGCAATTCACTTGAAGTTGACGAGGATTTATGCCACCCTTTAGGACACTGTGAATGAATGCCAAATGCACAATGTCAGAATAGGGAAGCATGCTATCTATCTTTAGTCTCAGTAGTTTTCTTTTTTACTAATAAAAACATAATTTTTTAAATGCTTGGATACAATAGAAACCCAAGTACACTTCCTTAGAAGTGTTGAGAAAAAAAAACATGTTGAAGACCCCTGAGTGTTTCTTTGTATCCCATTCCTATTGTCCAGTTTATTCTCTGTTTTGTAGATTTAATTGTCAAGATTTGTTTAATGTCTGTTCTTTTTCTCCATCACTTTTACAAAAAAATGCCCATGGACTTGATGATGATAAGATTACATTGAGTCTGTTCCCCCCTCATAGGGTTCTGGTTGGTATGGACCTTGATCATAATGCTTAGCTGCTGCTGTGCCTACCGACACCGGAGGGTTAAGATGCGTCTTCAGCAGGAGCAACGTCAACGAGAGATCAGCCTCATGGCCTACCAGGGAGCCTCCAGCTCCTTCATTTCCCCTCCACCGCTCAATCTAAGTGAGTGGTCTTTGTATTTGCTATGTGGATGATAAATATTTAGAGAATTTAACAGCCACCCTACTTGCTTAATGTTTTGTTGTCATGCGTATCATTCTTTTGGACACTACTGAAACCTCATGTCCAAGTAAAGGGCAAGACTTTGAACTGTGCACAACATCCAAATTATAGCAGTGAATCTCGCAATATTTGTCACTCAGATCCACAGGATACCCGAACTGTCCTTGGAACAGCTATTCTCCCCTCTTCCTGAATGAAACGGCCACCTTTCACAGAGAGAGAGAGTCATAACCTTAGAATTGGGAGGTGTTGATCCTCATCCTGATCTTGTCATAGTCAGCTGCAAATTGCCCGAGTGTGTATTGGAGATGATGGTCCGATGTTGCCAGAGGGACAGCGGTCAGCAGAGATGCCACCCTGATGTCAGTGGTCAGTCTGGACCTTGGCTGAAACTTGATATTGTGTCCATTAATATCACAAACAGGAAGTGGGACAAGGTGCACACTGATGAGAGTCCGGGGGGCCACAGTGAACACGCTTGACTTAATGTCGAGAATGTGAACACAACTCTTAACTGTGAGCGTGCACAGACGGTGACTCACACACGGGTAACATGTACTCTTCTAGCTCTTCCCGCCGGATATCATGCTGAACGTAGCATTAAGCCATTTCCAATAACTCGGGGTATGTTTCGCTTACTTAGGCAAGCCCTACAAACACCTAACCCTTAACTTTTTCTTCATTTTAAATCTGTATTCATGTTTATTCTGAGAAAACATATTTCCTAGTTTTCCACTCATGTCTATGAATGATATGAGTATGAAGTGCTTATTGTGTGAAGTAGACAAGAGAGGAATGTACACTATGTGCTGAAATTGAATAACAAATCATCTGAGGGACCAGCATTATCTTAAGGTGCCATCATTCTAGAAATGTTACCAGACTTGAATCCCAGCGAGTGCTATAAGGAGTGCTTAAATTAGACATATGGGAAAGTTCATCCTTAGTAGGCACACAAAAATGTTGCCCATGGTATTTTACATCAGTCATTATTGAAGCAGTTGCACAACCTCCATTAAGACATTTAATCAGAAACACTTTACTGCAAAACAGAATGATTAGTTGTTGCATGTGGACTACAGACATGGTCTCATAAACTGCAGGGACTTTGTTGTTTGAATACAGATGTGCCTGAATCAGAGCTTTTTTTTATGTTTACTGACCTGTAAAGATATTTTATTTTTATTGTTTCTATGGAGAAATAGCAAATCAGTGTTTCGCAGATTGAATCGGAACTTACCAGAGGTCTTTACATGATGAGATAAAACACATGTTTCATAATTAGCATTGGGTATAAGAGTAGTGAGCATGGATGTAGTGCTACAACTAACCATTATTATCATTATCCATTCTGTTGATTATTTTCTCAGTTAATTAATTCATTGTGTGGTCTGTAAAATATTGGTAAAAAAAAATAAATTGCCATCACAATTTCACAGAGCCCAAGCTGACACATTCTTGTTTAGTCCAACCAGGAGGTAAAATAGAAATACATTTCTAATGGTATCATAGAGGACTAAGCAGCCTGAGAAGCTGAAACCAGTAAATGTTTGGCATTTAAGCTTAAAAAATTACTTCTCATGACAGGAAAATAGCTTTTCGAGTAATCATTTTCAGTGGATTGACTAATCGATTAAACGACTAATTGTTGCAGCTCTACATGCATGTACTGCCTTTATGAGGATTATGGTTTAAAAGCTAAAGCTTTTGTATTTGCTGACTTTCAGGGTTCTGGAACGACTGTAAGCTTCCTGACTATGAAGAGGTGGTAGGTCACCCCCCGACACCACCCCCTCCTTACTCTGAAAACCCTCCCGAGACTACTCCTGCACTCCCTCCACAAGTGAACCAGCCAGATGCAGCCGCGGTCCCACAACCGCTGGCTGAGGCAGACCCGAGGGTGGACAGTCAGGCCTCAGCCTCACCATCAGACCAGGAAGCTGTGTCGGTGCTGATCCAAGCTCTGTGTCTGCCAGAGGAGAACGTGCAGGCTCCGTTGATGGCGGCGGCGGAGGCAGAGGAGGACGAGGAGCTCATCACGCGGCGTCGCCACGTGACTGGTGACTCTGGGATCGAGGTGTGCGTTTGCCAGCTGGACGTAGACGACGGCTCAGGGCTTGAGGAGGAAAGCGACGAGGAGCACCGGATGTGCAAGGTTACGGGTCGGGACTGCTGCTCCGGGCACCAGCAGCAGACCTTCAGACAGAAGGAGCACACCTCTGAGCTGCCCAGCCAGACCGCCAGCACCAGCACTGGGGACCACATGGTGTGATCCACAGCCCAACTAACCAGCCAACCAGTGTGGCTTTCTGCTTCACACAGGGTGATACAAGATAGCCGTTGCCATCATCACCACCACCAGGGACTGCCTGTGTTTTAATTCTTTGAACTAACACGTAGGCATGACGTTAAGATGATGATGTTAATAGCTAATTCTTAATGGCTCCTGATTAAGAAAGACGAATAACACATTATGTGGACAAAACTCCTGGCTTATTATTATTTTTTGGCTTTGTTTTTCCTTAGCGGGGAAACCAGCAAACACATGTTGATGCTCCATTTGGTATGTTTTTTTTTTTTTTTCTTAGCATGTGAGAGAGCGTCATCGGGTAGTGAGAAGGCAGCAATTGATTGTGAATGAAACCAGACTGTTTCCCTTGCTCCTACCCTTTCCTTGAGCACTGCTGTCATGTTTCTGTTTCTGTCTCAACACCCTCCTTTGGTCAGAACATTTCCGGCCATCCTTCATCTGACATTTTAGCTCCGGTGGGATGGTTTGCTTGGAGCATACCAGCACGGTCAACAGCATTTCTCTCCGTATCCCCGCTACGAATAAGCAGAGGAGTCAAAAACAAACCGCTTGAAAACTTAGGATGATCCTGGATGAATTGACAAGAGCACACATTTAGTTTTTTCCCCCCAAATCTGCATATGTGTGTGAGAATTTGTGTGTGTGCTGTGAAATATAGGGCACAGCTGCATGATGATGTCAGCTCTGAGGTCATGGCAACCAGCGTCTGGTGTCCTCTGGTGTAAAGTCAGTGGGACTTGTCACATCTAGAGTAGGGGGAGACTATATAGAAATAGCAGAGGAGAGAGAAAGGGAAGAGTTTGTTATTTTTTTTCTCTGGGTTTTAAATGTCATACACCCCCCCCTCTCCTCCTAAAGGCCCTTTTTTTTCCTTTTTGATATCCATATTGTGGTCTCCACAGCTCTGTGGTCACCAATTCAACATGACTGTAGGTAATGAGCGACCGGCTTTTAATGATTTATTGATGGTGTGCACATGATCTCTCCACTTCGGTTTCTAACTGCATTACATTCATAGTGATGGCCAAGAGGGCTTTGCCACCATTTTTCTTTTTAATCAATAAAAAGCCTTGTGGTGGCTCTGCATTAGCATGTTTTATTTACCGTGTTATGTCAGAGTTGTGGCAAGTGGTAAGCATATAGTTTTGGATGTTCATAACGAAGGATGTACTTGCTTTTGTTGTTTTTCATTTCATAACCAGCTAATGCTTCAGTAAATGCCACAGGTGTCACTATTAATTGCAACAAAGCTCCTGACGGGGGCTGCTAGGGTGTGTACTAGTGAGTGGATGTTGTAGTGCAGTAGGGAAGGGTTGAGTCTTGTGTGTGTGTGTGTGTGTGTGTGTGTGTGTATATATATCTAGTGCTGTTGCTTCTGGTTGAAAAAACTTATTCAGCACTAAGATGGATTAACTATTAAAAGCACTGGTATTTTGCATGAGGCATGAATTTCTGTGACTATTTTTGGGTTATTAGCATTTTCTTGTTGTGCTATTTGCTTTGCTAATCTGTTGATGTTGAATGATAGTGGGCTACAGTGGCTAAACAACTGGGTACCCAGATGTTGGGATAAAGAAATTGGTTTAGGTTTAGATGCCCTGGATGTCATTTCTTAGTTTGTTATGACTGTGTGAGTCATGCTATGCTGTTATGCATTGCTGGTAGCTAGTTAGCTGGCGTTGTCTTGGCTCTCCGTGGTCCCCATAGTTCTTTGCAGTGTGAGGGATTTGCAGTGGTATTTTCCATTGGCAGCAGAGAGTGGGTGCATTAGCAACTTGTGGTAGATACAGGGCCTGCTCTACGGTCTAGTCAGTGTTGGCACAGCTGCAGAATCTATTGTGATTAACTGCATGCTTCTCTGCGTGCTGTGTCGCTTGCCCTATATACTGTACAATATGTATTCGAAGCGTAGCAGTCTGGGTGTTGTCAGATGGTAAAACCACCGCAAAACAAAGTTGTTATGTGTTGCAAGACAGTAACTGATAAGTCAGTAAATGTTTAATTGAGTATTTTGTTTGGAACAATGTTCAACAACTTTATATTCGTCTGCTCTGATACTGTGTGTCTAAATGGGCACAGTGTAAAGACTCAGGTCGGTCATTCCGCTTCGCACGTACGTAAAGTGCTGCTCCTGATTGGGCTGTATTATTATTATTATTATTATTATTATTATAATGATGTGACACTCAATGGTGCAATATTCGGTTCAAGATCAATCCAAGCAAGGTAACGGTGTCCTAAATACAGTGTTTTGGCTGAATTGGCAGTTCAAACTTCCGCTTATCACTGAACAGACTCCAAACATGTGTCGTAACATTTTTAGATACGGCTATTGAGCTTAATTAGTACAGTTTTTTTTTTAGCACTGATTCTGACAAGGACGCAATTAGGAAATTCTTAAAGTCTTAAAAAGACATGACACTGGGTTCTGCACACTTCTGTGTATAATTCTAGGACCCACGCAACTCAGTGGTCCGTTAAATTGTTTCCTTTTTCCTCCCAGCTACTGTAGCAGCAGCCCAGAGCTCTGCAATGGCTGCGGTTGCCTTGCTTGAATTCTGTGCTCTACCATTCAAGCCGAACTACCACAAAGCAGTTTTTTTTTTTTGCCCTGTTCTTTAAATAGGCCTAATCTCGCTGTTTTGCAGCAGTAGTGAAAGCTTTGTGGTCCTTGTGTTGCGTAGTTGAGCAGTTGCTAAAACGTGAAGCTAACATGACAATGACCTTTTAAGAGAGGCTGTTACACTGCGAGCATGACGGCACACCCATTAGCAGAAGTAATATAATTAGTTTTTTTTGACCAACACACCTCAAGCTGCCTTGCTGCATCTCTAGAGAGCAAATGTCTTGATTATGGAGCTGCACAATAAAATATCGCCTCTATGCCGGAAAAATATGTGCTACTGCCTTACTAGAGTAGATTTAGTGAAGTGGTTTTGTTCAGAAAATTCTTTTGAATTAAAATATTTTCATTGCATGATTGCTTCAGAGCAGAGGAGCGCTTGTGTATCAATAGACAATGGCACCTGAGCTTGTTCCACTTGCTTTGTTCGAAGAGGATGTGGTTTTAAAAACATTTAAAAGCCACAAGATTTAAACGGTCACGTGTTCTGTAGAGTCGTACTTGCATTAGTTTTGTATCTGAGGAGAGGTTGAGTTGAGTTTAAAATAATGTGTGTCTAGTTAGTTGTGGCACTGATGGAATTTGTCAAGACCAGCATTTGAGTTTGTGCTTGGGACCTGGTCGCAATTAGTTTGTAGTATGGTCTGACTCATGAGGAAAAGTATGAAGAAAATTAGTTAAAAAAAAAAAGTCTATTCTCATTTTTTGTTTTCTATGGTTTTGTTGTGATGAATTCTGTTTGTGTGTTTGGAGGACAAAGCTTAACTCCAACAAGAGACTGCTTTGTAATCTTGCATTTTTTGCTTATTTGTATACATATGTAGATAAAGTAATAGGGGAGGGGGCGAGGAATGAGGGAATAATAAGGGGTTCTTTTGTGCATGAGTGAACAGGAGGTCCATAGTTTTCCCATTGCCAAACAACTACTATGCCTCCCAAGTTTTCACATGTTTACTGAGATTAAGGGCTATATCAGTCATCAATCGTGTGTTGTACTGACAAACATCCATCCATCCATTTTATCGAGTGACTCGTCTCCTCTGTGCTGTATAGTTAAAGCCACAGTTGCCGAGGTCCACTATCTGAACATGGTCAGACATCTGCAATGTGAACATGGTCAGTGTTTTGGATTTGGATGTCCTTTTTTTTTTTTTTTTTTTTTTTAATGTTGTGGTGGAGCTCATATTTAACAACAGCTGATTGTATATGACTGTGTACGGTTTGTTTTATAGGCTTTAACTTTGCCTTTTTGTTTTGTCAACCTCAGAGGTGCGTGATGCGACATCATCTCCACCCCCCACCCCCCACCCCCCACTCCACCAGGCTCCGTCTTGCTAACAAACTGTAGCCAGCGTTGTAGCTGTTGTATTTGTTGTTGTTTTTTTACCCAGCTGCACTGCTCTGCACGTGGACCCTTGGAAACAGGCGGGCATATCCACTCACGGAGAAGTGTCGACAGAATAATCATCCAAAGTTGCTGCCATCTCCATGCTACACAGATCATCACTGTTTTCCCCAGTGTGTGTGTGTGTGTGTGTGTGTGTGTGTGTGTGTGTGTGTGATACTGTATGTATACTGTATATGTGTGTGGTTGTCTTGGCGATGGTCTGTTTGCTTTCCCACTCTCAGGGTTATCTTTAATGAGCAGTGCTAGAGTTTTGAATTAACACATCTTTGACCCACCAGTCTCATAAAGCCAAAGCAGTTTTATGGTAATTGTCTCCCCCATTGTTGTCTGATGTTAATTCTGCATCACGCACCTCTGTTAGCGTATTGTACTTTACTCAACTAGGCTATGCAAAAACATAAACCTACTGTTATATGCTGCGACCGTTTCTCACGTTCTCTGTGTTTTTTGTCTGTGGGCACCAGTACAAGCAATATAACTCGGTACATGTGGCACTGCACTGTACTGTAATCTACTTTTGTTGGTGTGTGTGTATACATGTATTTCTTTAAGAAAACTTGGAAAAAAAAATACTTGTAATGCTACTATAATAATGTATGCGTCAGTGTAAACTGAGGGGGCTTGAGTTAAAAAGCCATTCTAGTTTATATACTTTTTTTCTTCATTTAGTGATTTTCTGCTTGCTTCCTCAACCACTAACACTTTCTACTTCTGGATAAACCACATTATTAAGTTGTGTAAGCCGAAGAAAGAAGTTGAATATATTGTTTTTGTTGGATGAATTCATGTTTGGTCATATTTGGTCCGTTTGACACTTTCCCATCCCTCGTTTTCGTTGCACTAATTCAATGTGTTGGTTTTCTCAGTTTAAGCAGCAACTTTCTTCTTTATTCATCTTGATGAATTTTCACTTAATGAATATTTAACGGTTGCCTTTTAATCCTCAGTTATTACACCATCAATTTCAAATGTTTTATATATTATACACATGAAAGACCTCAACATGGAACACAGTCAGCGTACATTAGACCAGGACACATTTGTGTACTTCAGAATACTTCATGGACACTCTGAACTTGTGAAAGGAACAGCATTATCAGTATGATTCCTTCTGTTAAACAACTTTTTTATTTTTTTTCTCAACCATAGATAATACCAAACAGATAGAGGTCTCATGTTTTTTTTTTGCCAAAATGAGAAACATCCTAGTTTGAGAAGTAGGAAGGCAACTACAGTGCAAAAACACACCAGACTCTTTCTACATTTTTTTTCCTAATAACTTTAAACAAGCCAAAATGAGTAAAGTGGAAAAAGAGAAAAAAAATTAAAGCACTGAATGATAGATAAAATGCTTTGTTTTTAGTAAGAAGTCTGCTGTGTACTCGTTGGGTCATCATTTGTATTTTATTTTTTTAATAAAACAAACATTGGCACTCAACCAACTCAGACTCTTGGCGTTTCTTGACTTAAACCCTTTAGAAGTATCTGTTCAACCTCAAGTAGCCTTTTGAAGGATTCTGGTATGTTGTCTTACACATTTGTAAAGCCGGGGAGGGGTGGGCGGTGGAAGTTCTCTTGAGTCCTTAAAAGAGAAATTAACCTTGAGCACTCTAGAGTAAAAATAGTGCTGGAGGATTATCACATGGCCGTAAGAGAGACACCTGAGGCAGTCAACATACATTACTGATGGGACGTCATGTCTCCTAAAAATTAGGCTAACACACAACCAGTTGTTGCTCACTATAGTGTACCGTTTATGATGTAAGCCTCGGGTAGACACAGGATTTCACTTTTAAATGTCGAACTAGGGTCAATATGTAGTACTATCTGAATGTTGTTGCTTTAAATATAACCCAACTTCCCACACAGAGGTCATAAACAATATCAGCGTAGGTCTTGTTTGGGCTTTAATGGCGCAGTGTTAATACTTCAGGACAGAAACCGGATAAAAATGGTTACAAAATGTCATGTATGGGTCACTGAATGGATACATGAGGCACACGGTTGTCATACAAAAGGCAACAAACAGAGGACGAATAAGGTAGGGTGGTTGTCACAGTTTCTACAGGAAATGAGGAAGATCCCACACATTGCACGATTGAAAACAAAGCACTACATAAAAGATATATGATGTTGACATGAGGCCTGGGACTTTTTCCAGAACATATAGAAGATTGTGCAGATTCAAAAGCGGCGGCCTGAGGCCAAACCAGCATTTTTGTTCAGTCCATACAATGCATGACACAGTCAGTGGTGTTTTTAAAAGAAACACAAACAAAAAGGTCATAAATATTCAGTGTGCAAAGAAAAAGTGTCAGTGAAAATTTACTAATCATTTAAATTCTCTTTAGTCGCTCCCTTCAGTGCAAAGTCCATTTCTGACATTTAAATATCTACTTTAAATATATTTGGAAGAATTTGCTTTAAGTTGATCATAAAACTTTGATCCATTTTTTCAAATACATGCATACAATCTGGGGAAGGGATATGGGGATGAATAAACATTTTATGTTATGATTGTTAAAAATAAGAAATATTTCCCTGAAACACCAAAATCTTTGCCACATGCACCAATGAGACAGAGCTCAGTTTTCCATGTGCTTCACATAACCGCGTAAAACGATGTGGTTCAGAGAATTAACCTCAACAAATGTCATGCATACTACAACTACAGGATGGGAATACATTATATAATACATACACAGATTCAAAATGATAGTATAGAGTATAAAGCACTCAGCTGTTTTTTTCTAATGCAAATAGGAGTAGAGATCCATCTTTAGTTCGCTCGGAGCTACAGTAAAGATGACATTGTTGGTTTTTTAGTGGTATTTGGTTAGTGCTTCAAATCATACTGCGGGTGGATCACCAGTAGCAACACATTGGAGACTTATATATTTCTCAAAGCCAGAAAATCAACATCAGAGAACTGAAGATTAAATAAAAAAGAAATCTCAGAGAATTTCATAGTTGTCAAATGCAGCAAACTGTAACAGAAAATAATATGTAGCTGCTCGTAAGAAGTCATGTGACATACTGCACGTCTGCAGAGGTGGAGATGGTAAGGCCGAGTCGGTGTGTGTCAGGCAGGGGGGGGCTGAGGGCAGACTGTGATTTAAGTCCTCTTACTGCTTCATGACTACCAATGGCAGAGTTAGAGAATGGCTTTGTCTACTCCGTCTCCCATCAGACTACTGTTGTCCTCAGGATGAAACAATCTGCTGCGCCCTACTGGACGACAGCAAGCATCTCACTTTTCTTCCTCTTGGGTCCACAGACCGCAGTACTTGTCGCCGTCTTTCCCCTTCTGTTTTCAGTAGAACCGCTTGCGCCGGCTCTCGTTCCAGTGGCTGTAGACCACCAGGCCGATGACGATGAGGAAGATAAAACCCAGCATGGAGAAGAGCACAGTGAAGAAAAGAGCTATTCCGCTCATCCCTTCTTCAGTCTGACCCACTGGAAGAGAGGACGACAGTCAGAGGGTTAAAGAGCGAATAGAAGACAGGGTTTGGAGGGAAAATAAAAATACAATTGTTAATTATCTGTCAAAACTGTAGTCAGCAACCTAAGCTAAGTATCACAATATCAAAGTAACCTAACTTTATTACTTCATGTTACTTTTGGATTATCTCAATGTCAAATATGCAAATAAAGACAAGAAAAGAAATATCAGTAAGATGACTTTTACTCGAGAGTATTCAATAAGACAACAGAACAATGTACCCTTAAAAGAGAAAAGGCTTTTGTACCCCGATTACATAACTCTATTACACGTAATCCATTACTCCCCAAGCCTGGTAGAAGGTGGGTATGTATCTGATGGAGGGATGACAGTGAAGGTGATAAAAGAGGAAAGTAAGACCTGACATTAGAGGATTCATGTAATTCCACAATAACATGCGTGTGTGTGTGTGTCTCTTACTTCTGAGTAGTTCAAAGTTATCTACGCTGGGTATGGTTATCTCCTCTTCCGCCTCTTCCTCTTCCTTTTGACTCCGCAACACCGTCAGTTGGTAGAGTTTCAGGGAAATAATATCATGGTTATCTATAAATGGAGAATCAGAAAATGGGAGAACGTTTAAAGAAAGGGCCTCAAACTTTCACTGCAAACATAAAAGCAGTAGTGTTTAAAGTTTCAACATTTTTTCAATTTCGATTCAAGTAAGTCAAGTTTTTTTATATCTTAACTCACTATAAAAAGCAAAAACAGCATGTATTCTGTTCTGTTTTACTAACAGTGCTACTTGGATTCTCACTCATGCGATAAACCTCACATTTTCAGTTAACTAACAAAGAAATATAAAGAATTATTTGACAGAATATTAAGAACATAAATGTTTTAAACTCAAGAAAACAGTTAAAATTGTATTTGAGATCTACAAAGGCTGGGATAGTGCTTTGATGTAGCCTGCAATCTTTCAGTTATGGTGACATTGACCTTGTGGTTAGTGTAGTTCATATGCTGAAAGTAACAGCTGTGTTCTGCCTTTAGCAACGAGTCTACAGTCTGATAACTTAAAGGATCAATTCAATATATCTATTACAAGGCCCTGTTTGTCACAGCCAAGCAGCAGCAGAAAGTGATCTTTAAGGAGGTATTTAAGCTCCAAGAGCTCTAATGATTTTTACAGTATACAATGGACAGACTTTGGAACTATTACAGAAAAAAAGTAAAGTGAAACTGTAGTTTTTCTTATGTATGGAATTCATAGGAAGAAATATACAATATACACAAATCATATCACAAAACCTGTTAATGTAAAAAGAAGATTTTGGCTTTTCACAGCTGCACAACAAGGACAAACACTAATACAATACACAAACACAGGCACTAGTATTGTATGTAAGGATATAAGTTAAAGATATTGTTTGGGATGGTGAAAGCTGTTTTACCTGAGAGGTCTCCAGTGATGGCTGTAGCTCCAAAATAATAGCCTTGGGGAAGCCGCACCCCAGGTATGTCTAGGCAGTCCCTCCACTCATGTTGCCCATCGATGTCTATCATCACCTGGAGAACGGAGGACAACAGGGAACCTCAGGGACTTTTAGAGGGTTGCATAATGTCAATAATTTCTATTCTTAATAATTGCCCAATACCTTCCTGTAACTGCTTTACTGGAGCCTTCAACAGTTTATTATTCTGCTCTGTTTGTGTCTGTACTTGTCACATTATTTAGTGAAACTGTAAACAGGGCGTTTCTGTAAAAGAGTGCTCAGCCAACTTACACTTTATTATTATATATTAAATAAATACTAGCAAGTCAAACTGAGTTCAGCCAGCGTACGCTAATAACAGGTTGGACAGCTGAAGACACGAGGAAGTGTCTGCGTGCGCCAAATCAGAGTTATTATGGTGGATTACTGAAGACAGAGATCTCAGTTTGTGGCGTGCGTCTCTCACCGTGAGCCTGCGGCGGATGTATCGGATAAAGAGGAAGGTGTCGTGTTTGAGGTTGCGCACCATGGCGTTGCAACCACCGAGCTCTGTGGGCCGACCGTCCCGCTCATGGTCGTAGCTGATGCTGCCATTTCCAACCATGGCCAGAACGAAGGGGAAGATCCTCTTGTGGTCACAGGAGGAAAAGAGAGAGATGGGGAAATAGCCATGATTTTAACTTAATCACACGCTGTTATAGCTCTGACAGTTGATTCTATGTGACTCATGAACCATGAATAACTTCATATTTACAAACTTAATTGTTCCACTTGAATGTCACATTTAGTTACATTTCTAAATTGGTCTATATTAATTACTTACTCCCTTTTTTTGTTTTATAACCATTTAAACATGTATGCTACGTATTGGTTCAAAGATGAGGGTGTTTGTAGGCAGAGAAGCACGCTTAAGGAGCAATGGAGTCTGTATAATGAGGTTAGACATTGGGTTGGGATCAAATGTTCAGAAAGCCATTTACCTGTGTGCGAGGAGTATATCTTTTCTTCTGTGCCTGTCTCCAAATGGTTGTACAAAAGAACACAAAGACACAAACTTTACACAAATTTGCAAGAGCACTTGCCCTTAATCCAGATTTACTTTCACAGATGTGAGATCTGAGCAGCGCTGCTGCAGCATACCTCTAGGTGTTTCTCCTCATTGGGATATGTGTCCACAAACACCCCCAAGCCAGTAAAGTTGTCCATATTTCCAAATACAGGACCTGTAAAAGAATGAAAATACAGAGTTAATAATACAGAGAAAATAGTTTCTTATGAGATAAGAAGAAAGGTGAGGTGGATGATACGTGTTTACCTTTCTGCATACGTTCCTTAGTGTACCAAATGGCCAACCCATCGCCATTCAGGTTTTTCTTTCCTTGCCCGTGAATCTTAAAGTGCACCTGCATCTCCCAGTCATTCAGATGGCAAGGCTAGAAACACACACAGAAGTTATATAAAACCACTGAAATACATAATATTTACTGCCAGGAAATAAACAAATGAGAGGAAAATGAGAGATTCCTATTTTTTGGCTTTTGGGGGACGCAACCCCATTAAAAACCTGTGGACCCGACCAAACCTGGTCTTATATTGAAGTCTGGTTTTGCTTTCAGTAGTGTTTTCTGTCTTGCAGCCCGTCATTGTTGGAGTTTTTGGAGATTAGTTTAATTTATGGTTAGGTAAGCATAGGTTAAAACTGACTGCGTATGACTGAAGTGCTCAGCAGCCATGTTAGCGATTATAGCTGCTTAGAGCTACGGCTGTTGAGAGGTAGCACAAATCAACCCAACTACAGAGCTCAGGTCCATTTTAGTATTCCCAATTAAAGCTCAAAGGTATGCAGATGATCCACTTTGGCCCTCAGTGGCCAAATATATAAGTATAAGTATAAGCATTCACCACAGTTTAGTGGCATTTGGGTTGCCATGTCAGATAAGATCAGGGTTATGGTAAAGAAGACGAGTCGGTAAAACATTGTCCCACTGACCCTAACCACACCAAAACCCATATTCTATTTTTGCATTGCAATAAACATGTAACTTTATGAGGCAACATAAACATATCAACCACATTTCCACAGAATACAATAATTAGGCTACCTACCTAAAATCATTAATTATAGTCAGTGCAACCCGCCATATCTTTAATAACTTGCTTGGTGCACACTAAGTTGCCAGTTTGTCAGAAGCATTGAGCCTCGACTAAATATTGAAAACCTCTCAGTGTAACACGATGCAATTCAGCAGCATCGCAAAGTCGCTATGAAGTTGAATCAACACCTTTTTTTAACAAAAAAAGAACATTATAGCCTTCATGAAGTTATTGTAGGGCTGTTTTATCAGACTAGTCTAATGAACTAGTATTACTCACTGGCCCTAACCCTCCCTCTCATATGCATCCAGTGCCTCCTGGCTGTTACTGTGAATACAATCTAAAACACCTGTTTTTATAATACCACCCTGGCATACAGGATGAAATGCTGCAGGTTTACCACTATTGTATTGTGTATACTCACAATGCGGCTCCATACCGCCCCCTGCCTGCTCTGCATGTCAGGTGTGAGGCGCACCTGGTCGGTGGTTACCATGGCATCCCCCATCAGCTCCCAGTGGGAGGAGCCTAAAGATCCCACACCTGAGCACACACATAGTATACCATCACCGTGAGAACAGCTGACACAGCACAATAGAGATAAACGAGCCTGACGCCAGAGCGGCTCCGCTTTGTTACTAAACCAAACATCAGACAAAGCACCCAGGCGAAGGTCTATAATAAAGCACAATGTGGGGTATTAAATATAATAATACAAGGGGGTTGTTATAGCAGCGAGGTTCACCTGAACAATTAAACTGTTCACTGACTCCATCAAACAAAATATTTTAGTTAGAAAGGAGCTCCAACATAGATGTAAGTGAATTATTCTAGAAACATCTGTCGCCTGCCCCTCTGAATCCGTCCCACTGTAACACCCAGTGGGGTATATAACGGGAAGCGTTACCTTGGTAGGGCTTGGAAAGGGAAAACTCCCGCTTCAGAAACTCTTCCATCTCGTGATCATCGTCGGCAAAACACCGGCTTGCAGTTAATATCAGAAAAGCGAAAGTCCAGAGGGATTTAAAAGGCATTTTTTTCCGTCTGAATGGTATTTTAGACTCCCTGTGATGATGGTTCCTGCTGACGGTAGCCATCGTAGGTCAAAACTCATCCCAGCGAATCGTCAGCTCGCTTCCCATTGGTTCGCCGCGTTCCATGGCTCGTCGCCATTGGTCCGTTTGCGTGTCAATCAGAATACGCGGTTTTAATTGGATGCCTGTTATATTGTTATAATAATCCTGATAGGAAAACATATATATTAAATTCCATACATAATTATTTATCTACATCATTTATGTCATTCTTAAGTTAAAGCTAGATCTACTTTACATTTTTAAACTGTATGTTTGTTGCTACATTGTCAACATGTCTTAATTTATACTACATGATTTCTAAGATAAGAGAAGATAACTTTATTGATCCCAGACTGGGGAAATGCACTTGTTACAGCAGCTCCAGATAGGAACAAAATAAATACACATTAAATAACAAAATAAAATAGAAAAACAAAAGATATAAAGGAAAAAAAATAGAATTAGAGTTGTATGTAGACTATATCCAGTTTATTTTATACAGGTGTGATTTAAGTTAAAATAGAATATTGCACAGGTTATAACAACAAAGACAAACAACTGTTTGCCTTTGGAGATCTTTTTCCTTGTTCAAATATTGAAACTTTTTCTCTGCGTGCTCCCAACAACTGATTGGTGTGTACAGTATGTACAACAAAATTGTAGGAAGCAGAGGGAATGGAAGGCTAATAATAATGTTAAATGTGCAAGATAGTGTGTTGCCAAATAAGAAAACTAGGCTGTGTGTAGTTACAAAACCCCCAGTTTTTGTAATTCTGTCTCCCCAGATGAGTGAGTTCTTTAAAATAAAATATTTCCCCACTCCCAACCTCTTTCATTTATACTCTTTCTGTGTGTGACCTGTCCTACTACAGCACGGCTTCTACATCTACGCCACCTAGAATGGAGTCAACAGGTTAATTGCAGCCATATTTTAATATGTAGTTATTCTGTGTTCTGCTTTGAGAAATCTTGTTTACTAACTTAAGGTTAGTAAAGGTTATGGCAACTAAAACATGTAATACTAATATATATCGCAGCACATTGAGGCATCCCTGTGAAACAAGAGAGCAGTCAAAAAGGGAACTGGTAAAAATGTCAAATGGTCAAAATCACAGGGCATAGTGTGGAGTAAATCAACAGTGGCAACAACATCGGGATAACACAATAAAAGGGAGACATTTACACTAACAGAGCAGGCTAGATTTAAATAGATAGATATATCTAGAACAGAGAAAGTTATTCTTCTTCTAACACCTCAAGGTGGCAGTAAAGCAACACCGCTGCTGCCAACTGCCGTAAACCCCAACAAAGAAGAAGAAGTACGCGCCGCGGAGTTGAACAAAAGAAAGTCCGCGTGAGTTAACTTAAGTTACAGAGTTTGGTTTCTTCATTTAATAACAATGTCTTCAGTTGACTGTTTGAGAGAGTTTGTCAACGAGCGACTCGCTGCTGCTGTTGAAGAAATATTCGGAGTCTTTAGAAAAACTATCGTCGAGTACGAGGAAGAGATAAAGCGGCAGCGCATAATGCTGGATATCGTCTGGAAACCTCAAATTAAGCTACAGAGGATAGGTGAGTCGTCATTTTAATAACACGAAACAGAGGGATAACATTTATATATGTAATTATTTGTAATATCTACTGGTAGTAATGTTTCTGTACCACCACTGTAGTATATTCATATTATTTCTGTTGCCTATACCTACAGAGCTCCCACAGCAACATGCCTGTAAGGAGGAGGAGGAGGAGGAGGAGACTGTTGACCAGCAGCTCTGTAACCAGGAGGGGAACTCCAGTCTGGACAAAGAGAGACCACAACGTCCACAGATTACAGAGAAGCAGGAGGGAGGGCAGCTTGTACTGAAGCAGGAGAGTGACACCTTCATGCTTTATGAGGAAAACAACCACAGTAAACCAGAACCAACATGGGAACACCAGTTCTTCTCTAACAACCCGCATGCAGCTGAGAGTCAAGATCAGAAAGGAGGCAAGCATCGAGATTCAGGATCGACTAGAAATTCAGAGCCAGAGCCAAAGAAAATACATCACGCAAGAAGAAGTCACAGCAACGATGTAAAGAGCTGTACCGTATCCGTATCAAACATTCTCTGTGTTCGCACGGGAAGTGGCACAAAGTATTTCAAATGTGACATGTGTGGGAAAGATTTTAAATATAAGTCTCAATTTTATTTACACCAGAAAGTCCACACAGGTGAGAAGCCATATTGTTGCAACACATGTGGGAAAAGATTCAGTCGTAAAGGGTATTTGAAATGTCACATGACAATCCACACTGGCGAGAAGCCGTATACTTGCCAAATATGTTGTAGAGCTTTCAGGTGTAAGACTGTTTTGAATACACATATGAGAACACACACAGGTGAGAAGCCGTACAGTTGCAAGACCTGCGGGAAAAGATTCTCCAGCCAAACAGCATTGAAAAGACATATGACAATCCACACGGGGGAGAGGCCGTATACTTGCCAAACATGTTGTAGAGCTTTCAGGTGTAAGGCTATTTTGAATACACATATGAGAACACACACAGGTGAGAAGCCGTACATTTGCAAGACCTGCGGGAAAAGAGTCTCCAACCAAACAGCATTGAAAAGACATATGGCACTCCACACGGGGGAGAGGCCGTACCTTTGCAAGATCTGTGGGAAAGGCTTCCTTGAAATTCTACGACTGAAAAGACATTTGGGAAAACACACAACCATTGACTAGAAAAACGTAATGACTATACAGTCAACATGAGGAGAAAGGCGGGAAAAGATACTTTGATGTATCTCATTTTGCAAGGCATAAGAGAGCGCGTGTGGGCAAGTAGCCTCGTACTTGCGAAATATGTGGGAGACAGTTCAGTTGTAGTTGTTGTGGTTCATGGTCAAAACACAGAAGAACTCACTGAGGCGAGGAGCCACTTCATTGCAGCAGTTGTGGGAAATGTTTTTCTCAGTTTCTCACGGATCAGTGTACACAGGTGTACACAGGAGAAACCATGCAGACATGTTCACCGCCTGAATAAAGTACACTTTGCACTCTATGTAATTGAATGTAAAATGTTTTCCATAAAGATGCAATGTCAGTATCTTCATATAAAGATAAATAATAAAGATGATTCATTGCAAAATGATTTATTAAATCTTGATAATAAATCTGAATGAATCTGAAAACTTCCAGTGACCCCCGGAAAGACTACCATGGACCCCACTTTGAGAATCACTACACTGACATCACTATTTGATAATATATAAGAAGTCCTATTAATTAAGGTACGCACCAAGAAAAAAGCAAAGGAAAAATAATTTCTTTGCATTTTTTATTCAATTATGATAATAACAATCAAGTTTTTTTAAATAAGACCCTACAGTATTTCAGATACAGTCCTCTACCAAACGGTAGAGACGTCTGTTCATAATAAAAACAACATTCAGAACAGGTCACATTAAGTGCAATTTCTTGACCAATATTACTCACAAATATTTTTTGGTGGTCATGCAACTGCACAAATGGTTTTTGGTCAGGGGTGCAACAGCACTTATTTTGCCTTTGGCCACTCATTTCTGATGGTATGCTGCAAAGCATTCCTGGTTTGCATTCATACACAGGAATACATGACATTTCTGGTATTTCCATTTCGACACTCCCTTTGGACAGAGGTTGCATTGCCCCCGCTTGTTAGAGTGAAGTGGCAAATGTCTGAAGTTGTCATATTGTACATCTGGTTGTGGGTGTGAGGGTCTTGGGGTATTGGATTTTTTGTTTTACAACATCTGTGGTGGAGAGGATGATGATGGCCAGCCATCTTTGGATGCTGGCTTGTTGACTTGAGCCAACGTTTGTGCTACTGCTAGACGGAACCTTTGAGAGGCAGAGGTGTTTCTTTCAGGAGGCTGCAGTCCCGCTTGTAGACAAGCCAGGCATTTGAGATGCAGAGGTCAAGGATGTATCCAAACAGGGGAAGGTACCATCGCCTGGATTTCGCTGAGGTCTTATACATGTGTACCAGCATGTCAGAGAGATCAGTGCCTACCATATGCTGATTGTAGGCAGGGATGAGTGATGGGCACGGGACAGCGACCTTTGCTATGGCCTCTTTGCTCCACCGTTTGACAGAGGAAAGAGGTGTGATCCCACAGGCACTGCTAAGAAGGCTCACACATTTATTGTCAAACCATTTCACTGCGAGCAGCCCTTCAGCAGACATGTAGTCAAAAGCTCCACGTCCTTCCTTCATCAGCTCTTTGTCCGCCTTTAAGGTTGCTCCACCCATGCGGTTTGGTCGGATAGTGCCAATGCACCTGATGCCCAGGTTCTCTTGCAGGTTCTGGACCAAGTCGAAACTGGTGAACTAGTTGTCACAGAAGACGACTGAAAGTCTTGGCAGTGTTATGGTTTTGCAGAGTGTTGTCACAAGTTTGGCCTCTAGAAGCAGTGCCTCCTCCTGCTCAGTTAGGGCAACATTGAAGAATGTGGACGCCCCCTGATCGAGCAGAAGGTCATGAATGATGCCAGATGAGCTGGCCCAGCAGAACAATTTAGAGCCCCACTTGTCTGGCTTGTTGGCAATATACTGGTGGAGAGAGCCAGCCCTTGTGCCTTTATACGCCACCATGACCTCATCCACACTGTGCTGGTAAGTGGATGAGATCAGAAGACACTGCTGACGAAGCATGTCAAAAAGGGGGTGGATTTTGTAGAACCGGTCTGGACTGCCATCGCACTGCTGATTATCATTAAAATGAATGTACCGGCGTAACAGCTTGAATCTTCTCCTTGGCATAATATCGGCTATCACACTGAACCGTGACTCAATGCACCAGTAGTCATCGATGGCTGGTAAGCTGAAAACGCCCATGAAGAGAAGCATTGCCAGGAATTTTTCAATCTCTTCAGGACTGGTGCTGATTGGATCTCCCAGCTCCTGGGCAACGCAGACATTGGTTTGCTCAGAGATATGTGTAATCATCTCATCTGTGAAGAGCATTTTAAAATACTGAAAGGGTGTCTTTACAACATCAGGGAGGTTAAAACTTGAGTCTGGAACCTGGAATGTCTCAATGTCTTCATGCCGCCACAATCTTCTTCTGCCTTCCTTTCCACCTGGGGGTGATGGTTCAGGTGTGTCCTGTAGCTCTGCCAAAGAAACTGTTTTCAGGGAGTTTTTTCCCCATTCTCCTCTTCTTTTTGGACAGTGGTTTAGAGGATGAACTCGTTGAGGGGAACCTCCTCCTCAACCATAGAATCAAAAGAATTGTCCCCACTCTCTTCTGCTGGTGTGGGCAGATAATCTGGGTTATCTACGGGGTCATCATCACTCAGATCTGCATCTGAGTCCTCAGGATTTTCTGGCACAAGGGCCAGAAAAGTTTGTGTTCTTGCACTGTAAAATGAGTGTGCGTCCATCTATCATGTCTAAAACATAAAGAAAACTATTTGTATTACAAACCATGTACTCTTACAATGCTAGTCATATGGTAATACACAAACATAGTCAATTTTAAATTATGAAATTAATAGTACCACCAGAATTGGTATTAATTCTTCAAATGTATTCTTGATATTTACCATATACAGTACAGAAATGGTGAAAAAATTGTATTGATAAAATATTTTTTATCAAATGTAATTGAATAACATTAAATTAATCATTTTAACAACACTAACCCTTTTGTTCATTGTAAATAGCTCATTTTACCAACAATAGCTAGCTTCTCTACCTTTACCGTAAAATGACAACTTGGTAGAGCACGTTTTGAAAAAATGATTTGACCCTTATAAGACTTATTTTTATTGAATTAAGTTACATAATTCTGTTTAACAACTCCTCTGAAACGATAACATGTCAACAAAATAGTCTTACCTTTAAAAGTCCCGCCGATATGCGTCATCAAAGGACGAGTGAATTTTCGCTGTCACTTCCTGTTTGAAGGAGCGCTGAAAAGGCATACTGCTCACAGACACAGTGCCATCTAGTGGATTTTATTAGCACTGCACAACTACACCAAACGGTAGAGAAAGGGTCATGCAGGTTGAGTTAAGCTTGATGCATTTTTCAATGAAATATAGTGACTTAAAGTGTGATCTACCAAATGGTTGAGTAGTACCTTCAAGGGTTAAATGTGAACCTGCCTCTTTTTGCTATTTTAACATTTTATTTTATTTATTTCAGTCCAAATACTAATATACACACATACATATATAGCTATGTATCAACGACATTTCTACAGTGTCATGGGTCCAGAAAGGTTGGATTAGCAGGTCTAAAGATAAAGATAAATGCAGCTGAATTATAGGAAGAGAAAGCCCATACACACGAGTCAAACTATAATTACAGATATATTGAATTAGAGTTTTGACAATGCACCAGCAGTGATATGTAGTCCAGCTGATAAATGTACAGCTTTCCCCATTGCCATCGGTGTCGGTATGTTTCTGCAGCCAGTCGGATGCTGTAGTGAGCTGTGATCACGCCCCCTTCACTGCCCCTGCTGCCTGTCGGATTTCCTACACTCCTCACACCGACTTCACGTTAAGTACAGCATATAGGGGGATGGAGTAAAGGAAGGAAGGCATGGATCCCATGGAAGACAAACCAAGCCAATCGGTCGACATTTATCGCGATACGTGGGTCCGCTTCCTCGGTATGTACTGCTATATTTCCCACTCGTGATGGCTCTGAGTCGTGAACGGACCGTTTGAATTGAACAGTAACTGTAACGTTACACTGGAGACGTCATGACCCTGGAGCTGTGCGCTAGCTAGCTAAAGGTTAGCATAGGTGGCTAACTACACTGTTAAAATTCTATTTATAGCAAAGTTGGGCTGTTGAAGGACATTTTGTTAGCACAGGACGTAATGGACGATGTCCAAATCCGCAAAACAATACCATAAACAATTGAACTGTATGTGTTTTGATAAGAGTTGTCTCCGTAGCTCAGTCCTGTATCATTAAAGTTGTTTAGCAAGTTGAGGCAGTGACTCACACAACCAGAGAGAGAGAGACGCCCGTCGGCATGTCCCAACCCAACAACTAAACACCACCGTGGCAGATACAGCTTGCTATCAGTGATTGGTTTCCATGCCGTCCTTCTCTAATCGAAACATCAGTGTTGTTCCTAACATCGGTCACACTTGCTGAGAAGGGCATGTACTGTAAAACAATCTGTGAAGGGCATTCACACTGCAGCAGTGCCCCCTGTCCCCCTGGTGAACATGCCTCAAGCTCCTGCTCTGTCACCAGCAGGTTATCCCCCTCATAAAATCTTTAATCTGTTTGCTCCCATCTTTAATCCCGCCTGTGCAGTTAAATATATGTGTCTAAATTTAAAAGTGTTCCTGCATCACTTTCTAATATTTGGGTGATTTTGCTCTGAATGTGTAATATACTTTTTAAACAGAAGAATAGTGCAATTGGATATTTAAGGTGTCTTCAACTCATTAATATTTCATATTAATACAATACTGTGTATTTTATATTTTCTTCCTTAAATGGTTCCTTTCACATCATACATTAGTAATTTTTATTTGCTAAGAATTCATTTCTTCCTATTATTGGATTGCCCAGAACGGTCTGGAAAAGATTATTATGCAATAAAGACTGGATTTAACCTGAAATATAGCTGTTTTAAATAATTGTATAGCGCCAAATCATAATAGAAGTTATCTAAGGACACTTTAGAGCAGGTCTAGACCGTACTCCTTATAAAATAATTTACAGAGACCCAACAATTCCCACTGTGACCAAGCACTTGGTGTTAGCGGGAGGGAAAAACTTCCTTTAAACAGGCAGAAACCTCGAGCAGACCCACAGCGTCCATCTGCCTCGAGGGGTGGGAGGAGTAGAGACAGAAAGACAGAGAGACTTTCCAGCTGAATGAGCAGGAAAATCAGGAAATTACCCATTGTAAAATGTTGACGTCTTTGTAGCCATCAGCTGTCTGCCCCGAGGAGTCACTACACCTTATGCTTGGGTACAGATCACATAGTCACAGACATGTTGAACAAACTAACATAATGTATTAGTGGGCCCACCAGCCTGATGGGTCTATAAGTCACTTTTATATTAGTGTTTTGGAGCCATTATACAGCAGGCTAATTGTAGGTGGATAACATTTGAGCAGCGATAGGATT